GGTCCCCTGCTGTAGTAATTCCTATAACACGCAACTCAAACCCTGGATTACGACAATTTAAAGGCGTACCCATTACAATCTCCACCCCTTGTCCCTTTGGGCCAGGTTGTAGGGTCTAACATTGCATGAACTCCCCCTCTTGCTCCCACACCAGCTGCTCGCAAGAAAGTTAACTTCATCCCAGCTGAAACCATGACAGTCCCTAATAGGCATCCCAGAGGAGACAAGCTGGCAGGGACCTGTGGCTGCAGGTGGAGCTGTGCTCCTGCTGCTATTTCTCTGCCAGTGCAGTGAGAAAACAACCCAATGGGACCAGCTGGGGCTTTGCTCCTGGTGGGAAGGGGAATGGCACCAGACTGACAGATGTCAAGTGACTTTATGGCAAGCACTGCTTAGGCTGTAGTCATTGGACATTATGTGACTTTAATCATGTGTGTGCATATTGCAGATCAGGAACTCAAGTCTGTAAACTGAATTGTGCCAAGAATAGTTTGTTCTTTCCCCGAGATAATTACATTTCTTTCATAATATTTATTTGTTATTTTGTCAGGAATCAAGCAGTTATTCAGCTGGTTGAAAGAAAGGTCTATTATTATTAGGTTGCAAAAGCACATGGTACAGCCTATAGCTGGCAAGAGGTGGTGGTGTATTGGGATTGCCTTCCCATAGCCTTGGTCTTAGTAACAGTTGTGAGGTGCAGTTCTCATGGGCTAGGAGCATTATTTTTTGTGTTAAATTAAATCTAATTTAAATTAAATCTAAATTAAAAGAGAAATGATGCTGAGTTCTGTGCAGAGTTTTCCATGATGCTGGGCATTGAGCATGGGCGGAGAACAGGCTTGTTCAGAAGCTGGCACCCACCAGCACTGTTCCATATTTATAGACAATTCTTCTCTTGTAGACAACTGTGTGGCTTCTTTGCTGATTTGACTGTCAAATATGAAAATAAGAAGTATGAAATCTCAAAGTATGTTTCCCTTTTGCTTGTTCTTTTTGCTTAACCTGAGTCGCCTGTCAACTTTTGGCCCAGGTGGCTTTTACCCAGCTCCTGGCACACGGATAAGGGCAGCCGGCGATGGCTGGTCCCCGCATGTCACTCGCTGCTCGGTGCCCTGCCGCGGACAGGGGGCTGCAGTTTTTTGGGGGGTGGG